ATATGTTTCAAAACATGTTTCAAAATGTGAGCGCATATTTAGGTTCAATTAAGTGCACGAAACTCCATGTCGAGATTGGTCTTTGTAGTTTGCTTATTCGATTAAACAATTAAAAAACGAGCATATTCACTACACTTTGATGATTTAAACGACTAACAGATTTATGTGTGGTAATTTTGATATTAATACGTTTGATTTTCAAGCATAGCCTGAAGCTGACAAGGCAGTTAGCTAGTCGTAAATATCTGTAGTAGTTTCGACATAGAGCTTTACCTGCAGAGTCAATCACTCCATCCATCCATCCATCCTTCCATCCCGTATGCTTGCACACCAGAGGCTACTTCAGAGAATCCTACGTGATCCGCCAAGATACTGCGTCATTCTCGCTGTACGACCAGTGAGATTGCACCACAGTTTTAGACATGGCAATGTTGCTGATATTGTACAGCTGTAGAAGTATTTGAGCCAGTTTTCTACAGCAGGAAAATAATCCTGCAACAACAGCAAATGTGAATTACTAAGAGGATTACAATTCATTGACATTTTTGTAGGGGTTGATACATTTTCGTAAGGGAAAATCAAGTCTGAAATTTCAAAGGGGAAATTACAAACGTCAGAAGCCTTTTTAAACCTCAAATACACTGCACGTTTAAAATGTCCTGCATTGCATGAAAGTTTTCCTGCAACAAGGTGATCAAATTAAGATCCTACATGATCCTGTTTTGTTCTGTTCTATTCTATTCTATTATGTTCTATTCTATTCTATTGCATTGGAATAACCGACACATCGTTAAAGAATCCATATAGAAAATAATTAATAATTCACTGAGCTATAGAGGAAATCCTTATGTAAACAAATGACTGGTACTAAATCGCATGCTTTATGTGGTGCGCAGGCCGGGGAGCACACATGCACCAGTCAGTCAGTTCCTGAGAGTGGTAGCCCCATCACAGGTATGTAGGTTCCTCCGCGGTCTGTCGACCATCACCATGGTGACCTGCCTAGCGGGTGTGGTGGTGCTGGGGGGCCCCGCCCAAAGTCTACTTCCCCAAAAATTATTCCAGCCCTGCTGCCCGGTGTGACAGAGCTAGCACGATTAGAAGGACGTGTGTGTTAAATCTGGACAGAACTAAATTCCTGACATGTGCATTTAGCAGCTGCTGTTCAATGCTTGTTCACACCACCACGCTAGGCTAGGCTATATCACACTAGTGAAATGATTTTGTTGGTGCTTGAAAAGTATATGCGTAACTGTAGGCAAGTGGTTGATTGTAGTTGATGATGTACAGCTAGGCTAGTGTTTCCAAACTCGGTCCTGGGGACCCCAAGGGATGCACGTTTTGGTTTTTGCCCTAGCACCACACAGCTGATTCAATTAGGCCTAAACAAAGGTTGAAGATTAGCTGATTATTTGAATCAGCTGTGTAGTGCTAGGGCAAACACCCAAATGTGCACACCTTGGGGTCCCCAGGACCGAGTTTGGGAAACGCTGGCGGGCCGGGACTATGCTTGTGAGGTAAGAATATAACACCGAGGTTGGGGTCAGTTCCATCCGATCTCTGTCTAGTCAATTTAGGAAATGAATCAGTTCATGAATTGAACATTCACCGTCATTTCATTTGTTTAATTTTCGCATAAGGTTGCTGGAATGCGATTGATTATAGTCGACCCTTATCCTGACATCTATTCTGCATGGATGTTGCAGCATACTAGACTCCTGGATCAGTTGTTTCCTGTATATTTATAGGCAGTGTTGAGGAGTAGTGAACTACATATAGTAGTCAACTAGTAATGTAACTACATTTTGCAGTAGCTTGGTGGTAGTTTAACTAAATTCAAGTCTTGGTAGTGTTTTCAGTAGTTAATTACTGGAACTACACACTACTTTTTTTTGCAAAAATAAAATAAAATATGGGAGTATGCAATCATTTCCTTTCTTTTTCGGAAGCTCACCGGCCTGATTCTCACTTGAAACATGTTTTTTGCTTTTGTTTAATAGGCCAAATTACACATTATGTTAAGAGCTGACTCCAAAGTGATCTGTTCTTGCAATTTGTAGTCTATGACATTTCAGATTTAGATATGATAATTTATCACGAAGCAGTTTGGATGTAGTGAACTACTTTTTCAAAGTGACTTTAGTTAAGTAAACTGAATGTCTCTTAAGAGTAGCTTTAGTGTAGCTTAACACTTCATCCAGAGTGAAGTAATTGGTAGCTTGGTAACTATCTTTTCAGAGTAGCTTCCCCAACGCTGTTTATAGGTTTTCTATCTGGGGGGAATAAGGAAATATAACAGGATATATTATATTGGATATGTCCAAACTCTTCGTGGATTTCGCTCATAGAGATGTAACATTTTAAGTCTTATTTAGATGATGTATCCATTTGCATGTATCATAGCTAATTATATAGAGGATGTTCCATAGCTCGCATGAGGGTAGCTTCACTAGAATGTTTATAAATCTCAATTTGACAGAATACTAAGAGATGTCAGGAAGATCTACTTTTGCATGATTATATGGATTCGTTAGAATTAGGTTATGGTATACGAAGAATGCTCAATATTTGGTTACAAGTTAAAGATTTTCTTTTAAAAAACCCTGCCGGCCTTGCAACTCCCCTTTAACAAGGGAACACCATGTATACTTGGAATCGTGTGGTGCATAAACCTCGCTAAAAATTACATTGCAACGTTTGTATAAGCCTATAAACCATCCATCGAAATCCATATAAAATGGATAACATTTATAAACGCCTCACAGTGGCAAAGTTTCAGACAGAAAGCACATGCATTAGTTGTAATAGCCTACTGCGTTGTTATGGCATGTATATCTGTCTCTCCTCTTCTCCACACAGCCCCATACCTAGTAGTTGTCTTGTCCCTTTAAAAACACCGGAAATTACTTGAACCACTATTGGATTGTAGTCCTTCCTTGTCTTTATACTTACTAGCCACTCCGCAGGTATTTCAGAGCCAGGGTCTGTAAACAACAGAATGAGTTTTGATGCGTACTCGACAGCGTGAGTGTGAAGTTCATTCTTGTCTGTCTAGACTCTGATTACGACCTTGTTTGTCTGCGGTTTTTTTAACCTTGACCTTGGACTTCCGTGCAGCTGCCATTTGGATCCATATCTGTAATCTCCGGACAGGATATTACAGCCATCTAGTTGTAGCCTAGCTTTCCTTTTCCTGTCTAGATATCCATCTAATGTGCACAACTCTGGCACAATGGTGGTACAACTGTTTCGCTTTCAGCTTACTGTCGATTGGTCCAGAGATTCAAGTGATCGGAATTAGTTGTCTTGAGTCAGTGAAATTTTTTATGATAGGCCTAAGCATCACAAGTAAAAATGCCATCAGAACATTTACATTGTCTATGCTATTATGTTTTTCCACATTTGAATTTAGACTATTATTACCAGTTATAGATATTAATGCATTAGTCCAAAGGAAAGAATGACAAATGAATCAGAAACTGAATCCTTATTCCAAACTATTAATATTTGTAATAAATAAATGGATATGCACTCAAATAAAGACTCATACATGTGAACCTGGTCTCACGCTTATTTTTCTTCCAACTGACGGGGTATTATTAAAGATAGTGGAACTAACAAAAGTCACTTGCGAGGTTACTTTTCCTAAAGTCTATCACTCTACCGATTGCAAAAGGCTGGAAAAACGTACGCTTTTTGCATAAGCATAGCTATCAATATGTCTTCGAAGACAAAGGCATACGATAAGAACAAAATATAGGCAGATCTTGCGCTTTAATTGAGCTAAACCTGACCCAAGATTCAGCTGGTACGATTTACCTTTGGATTACCCAAAAGGTGCCAAATGTGATGCCCATTATTTTCTCTCACAAAACGGATTTATTATTATTTAAAAAAGCAAGGCTAAGTCATCTTTACAGCTCAAATAAACTGCATTTGGAATACGTGATTATAGCTCACCAAGTACATTTTGAAATTAAAGATGCAATCCTGTAGCCTAATAAAAAGGTCGGAATGAATTTTATTAAAATTAGACCAAGAAGTTGAATTCATGCCAACACAGTTTGAAATCCTAAAACTACTTACCCGTAGCTGACACAGTTTCCTGACAAACATATAGCCTTAATGATTTACTAATGGTCGGTCGTCTCATTATTTGTATTCGTAAGAAATGTGCATTTGTGTCTGCATTTCCATATCAAAATTAGTCGACAAAATATGATATGAATACAAAATGTAGACATGAAATATAGTGTGTTAACCACCCGTGTGAATATGCAAGTCTGAATGTGCATCTTAATCGTCATGCAGCCAAAACATTTTCAACACTGACTCCAAAAGAGAGAACTGTATGGAACATTACATTTGTTAATGAAACCAGCACACTGTCACGCATTGAAGCGAATTAAATGTGCTGCAAGATGGTTTCCTTTAGTATAAATGTAAAAAGGCCTAGACTTGCATATTATTTTATTATATAATAACAATATTTATTGTCACGCACAGTAATGAAATGTTTACTTACATTTAAGTAATTTAGCAGACGCGCTTATCTACAGCGACTTACTGGAGCAATTATGGTTAATTGCCTTGCTCAAGGGCACATCGACATATTATTTCAACTTGTCCGCTCGGGGAGTCGAACTAGCAACCTTTCAGTTAACGGCCCAACACTCTAACCGCTAGTCTACCTGCCGCTACTTCAGGTTAGTATTTTCCAGTGTCGGCCAAACTTTGCAGGTTGTTTTCGTTTCCCCTTCTTCGCCTAAGGTTTCCAACCTCCCCTTTAAGGATGTTCGTGTAGGTGACTTCAGCCAATGATAGGACCCTGTATTCCCCAGAAAGAAGCGATGAAACTTGAGCTGCTAGTTGTTTATAGGGCTTTTCTCCCCCCACTCACAAGCTCCAATCTCTTCGGGCTCGTTAGCATATCACGTGCCAGAACCATAACGAACTGGACACACGGGGTCTTGGTTGCGCATGCGCTCGCGTAAAATGTAGTTGGAAATGAGGTGTCCGTCTTGGAGTAGTCGACTTTTAAAAAGCATCGGCAACCCCTGATATGACAACTTCACTGGTTCTGCATCCACGCTGGGCGGACACCTTGATGTACGTTTATGAAAAAAGCCCGAATGAAAATAATCCGAATAAAAGCCAAACAATGGAGGGACTGAGCGGGAATTGCCCCGCGAGCCATTGCAGAGACCTGATGTCGCACCCCACGTTGGGACGACATTCTGGCACTATAGCGACCCACCAGGGCTCTATGTACTCGGATATATCTTCCCCAGACACCGGCCGACAGTGTCCTGCTCCCCAAACCTCCTCCAGTCCATCTCTGAGCTATGGTTATCCGTTTGGAAATCCTTATTACGGTTGTAGGTTATCTCACTCGCACAACGTGAACTTGCAGCAGAAGCCCTGCTCGTACCACCCTGCAGAGAAATATGCCGACCCCACCAGCACCGCGTTGCCCACCGAAGAGCTGTCTAGCAGGGCGAAAGAGTTTGCCTTCTACCCCAGTTTTGCTAGCTCATACCAAGCGGTTCCTGGATATCTAGATATGTCAGTGGTTCCCGGGATAAGCCACCCTGAACCCAGGCACGACGCGTTGATTCCTATGGAGGGCTACCAGCACTGGGCTCTGTCGAATGGCTGGGATGGGCAGGTGTACTGTTCCAAGGAGCAAACACAGTCCACTCATCTTTGGAAATCACAATTTCCAGGTATGAAATTAAACATGTTTAAAATATATATATATATATATATATATATATATATGTCTATAGAATGGGTGAAATTGCAGCAGTGTCCTTAGTTTTGTTTAGCTTAGAAGTGTTATTGATGATTGTGCTAGTAACTCCCCCCCCCCTTGTTATTACCTATCATTACATAGGGTCTTCTATATGAAATGCAATGATTTCCTTATCATAATGTAGCCTTATAATTTACCATGTGTCACACCAAAGCCATAGCTAAGCCTTTATGTCAATTGTTATGTGTAGAGTGATATATAAACGACAATGTATAGCATCCCTTTAATACATTCTTGAGGGACAGCGCGGTTGGAGAAATGTTCACAGCGTAATGAAAATGACAGTCAGGCATGGTAGGCTATTTTCATCCACTGGGTTCTCTACTACAGGGGGAGTGTTGGCGCGGTTGGTTGGTTATGAGGCTGATTGCTTCAATATGCAGAAATCAATGTCACGTCCTTCAATTCAACTCAACACCATGGTTTGTGCTTTAGTTGAAATCACAGCTGAAAAATGTATCGTCAGAGAAAATAGCTTACCCCGTGTGATTTTATGTATCTGGTGATAAACACTATAAACGCGCATGACACATTGTAGAAACTATTTAGAAACAAAACAGTTCGTTTCAGCTTTGTTGTTTACAAGTCACAAGATAAGTGCAATAGTGCTTAAACCAGGTAGTCAGTCATGCAGCAGCATAACAACATACCTTTGCCGCTTGTATTATAATTTGCCGCTTGTATTACAAATGGAAGCTAGGCTTCTGTTTGGATTATGCCAATAAATCTCTGCCGAATCTTTGTCAACAGCGCCCAATGTTGCGGGAGGGCGCGTTTTGCATTTGACAATCAATGTTCCATTCGCCCATGACCTATGCATCTAATATCTGACTCAAATACTGTGTTGCATAAGTATTTCATAAATCCTTATAATCCAATGGCTTTTTGAAGGACAAGCTTTCCTTTTGTATTGGCCACATAGCCTAGTCTGATATTTGATCATGAATACCCGGTCCGTAAGCGTCCAGTATGCTGTTTACACTGTGTTTACTAGACTGCTTAGTTTACCACAAGGTTTTATCGTCTTGGTAAAACGTGTATGTGCATTTCGGACACGAATGAGTTTAATTGTTGCCCGAGCTAGCTCTCCCCTCACGCCATTTTGCCTCCTTTTCCAGGATATTTCTCAAAAACACACACGCGCGCGATTTACGCACAACACACACACACAAACAAACACACACTCACACATACGCACACAAACACACACAAACACACACACATACAGTCTATGTGTAGCCTGTGGGTCTGTTATGGCAACTTTTTGAGCAAGCCAGAGAGTCCTAACTCATAGCTATAGGTAGCTCAAGTCAAATCCCAATTCCCAACATAAATCAAACTTCAGCTGTTTGCGCTTTGGGCCTATGTATGCAAAAGGTTGCGCGCGTCAACGGGTTCTTGATAAATATGCTACATAGGCATAAGTGCTCATCGGATCATCACAGTACAATACCAAACATCCAGGGTATACCTGCATAATTACGCAATGATATGTCGACTGTTGAAATACATATTGTTGATATTTTTATATATTTTTATAAATATCGTAAACATTGTTAGTATGATATGAACATCGTTAAGTATTTGGGGTATGATGGACGTTTTAGAGATGACATTTGGTACCCTACTTTACACCAGTGTGTACATCAGCAAGGCTAAACATGTTTTTCTCATAAAAATCTGAAAAATATACTATACTTACATCCCCTTTTCGAGGTACATAAGGAGGTATAAACGATGTATCGATCCCCAAGGCCCATCTCTGTGTCGTTCATATCTTTATTATGCATCAAGATTCTTATCTTTTGAAGAAATAAAATCGTTCACAAATTTGTCATGCGCACTGAGTGCCTGTAACTCAAAGAAAATATGTTCTAAAACCTCACAAACCTCTCGTGCCTAGCTAAATATATATAACAACGTGCTTGATATATGCTGATATTTGAACATCAAGGAGGAACGCTTATAAATAAAAAAGTATACCAATAGAAAAGTAAATACCAATTGTGCATCCAAAAATATCGTGCTTAATGTTTAAATTTCGCCCATATATAATTGCATAGGCTATATCTAATGTATATGAGGCCTTTTTGACATATTGGCATCTCCATAACAAACATATTCATACATAAAATACATTTGAATTAATCAGATTAGTGAATAGTGGTGGGAAATGTTTTTGCGTAATACAGCTCTCCCTTTCTCTCCAGACATAGTCCCTTTACAGCCTGAGGTCAGTAACTACCGTCGTGGACGTAAGAAGCGGGTTCCCTATACCAAGCTCCAACTGAAGGAGCTAGAGAAAGAGTACGCTGCCAGCAAGTTCATCACCAAAGACAAGAGAAGACGCATCTCCGCCGGGACCAACCTCTCAGAGCGCCAAGTCACCATTTGGTTCCAGAACCGACGGGTGAAAGAGAAGAAATGTGTCAGTAAATCCAAGACTAGTAATCATATGCATACTACTTGATAGATTCCCGGCCCATTCTACACTGCAGCTGATATCCATCCCACCATCTTTCAATCCATGATTTACCTCTTAGGGACAACCAAGCCTGAAGAACACTTCGGCAGTGTATTTTATTTAAGTTCCAATGGTCCACACACTCCATGCTACAAACAGCTCTTGTTTCAATTTAGAGAAAGAAATGCTCTAAAAACTGTGAAAATATTGAGAAATCAGTTCAACTTTGTTTTATATGAATGTACATATATAAATATATAATATTTAAAACGATATCTGTATTTCAAAAAGACACAATGATTGCGTTTTTTTTTTTTTTATCTCAAACCAATCTCACGAGGAATATTGACATTTCCAGGACTTTTCGTCCAACAGACGATACAGATGAAAACAATATATTTTCATCATGCCATCAACAGAAAGTTAACTGAAATATGGACATAAACCGGTCAGGGAGAACGATAACTTCAATGAACTCGAAAGGCTACACAAAAAACTATATGAGATGTACTTTCTTCAGCCAAGAACTCATAGAAAGGGTTTTTGCGGGGGCGACGGATGATACAATGGTTTTCTTTAAAACCGCTCCCGTTCCAGATTTCAGAAGCTGTATATGTTGTCTTTCTGTCTTTCTGTCTTTCTTGTTAATAGGGTAAAATCAAGGCTGCTATTGTTATACATGTTAGTGCAATGTCTTTATTATTGAATTCATATTCTCTCGTATGAAAGGGCTGTACATTGGAATGTCTCAAACTCTTTATGTGTTCCTTTATCAGTGAAGGATAATGTCTGTCATGCAACTTGAATGATTGTAAGCAATTAAAGTCAGTGAATATTACACATAAATGCACAATCTTTTTCTTTTGTTTTCTGTTTATAGTAGGCTATATATAGTACAACTCATTTGGAGCTGTTCAGGCGCCTTGTAAGCAGACAGTCTTGTAACTTTATTTCGTGCAGTAGGCTATGTGCACTGTGTTATGGTGTTTTAAACATACTGGTGACATGTTTCACAAATAAATGATGACGATTAACATGATTTCAATATTTTCTCCCTGGTCAAACAAAGTTATTTGTTGAAATATCATGAATTAAAGGTTGTCGTTCTTTCCTGTCGCCTATAATAAGTCATCATATCATTTAGTGGAACTTAGTTTGCAGTGTAGTCTATCTGACATCCTCGTGGCCAGTCCAACAGGCAGGACCGAAATTGAACAGCCCTGGTATTGAGGAATCGTTGGTATAGAAGAGAATAGAAATGTATATGTATTTTGGATGGACATGTATGAGATTGACATGTACGCCTAGGAGATCCATAGGACAAAAAATACTAATATTCAATTGTGTATCCTTTGACGCGTTTACTGAGGATAGGTTGTATAGATAGGCCTATATTGCGCTGTTGTTTAAGTAGAGAATTAACCCTTCCACAAAGTTTAATGTGGATGCTTGCAATGTGAGATTACGACGTCTTCACGGATCATTCCGATTCTTCCAATTCCTTCTTTCTAACTCGGCTCAGTGGTCTAAGGCACTGCATCGCAGTGCTAACTGTGCCACTAGAGATCCTGGACCGGGAGACTCATGTGCGGCGCACAATTGGCCCAGCGTCGTCCAGGGTAGGGGAAGGAATGGCCGGCAGGGATGTAGCTCAGTTGATAGAGCATGGCGTTTGCAACGCCAGGGTTGTGGGTTCGATTCCCACGGGGGGCCAGTATAAAAATATATATATATGTATTCACTAACTGTAAGTCGCTCTGGATAAGAGCGTCTGCTAAATGACTAAAATGTAAATGTAAAATGTAAATATTAGAAATGCCTACGTATCAGATGTACCAGGACACAGCAACAGGATACAAAAATATATCCACTGCCAATATACTGATGTTATTAAATGAATGGCCTTTGTTTATCAAGTATCTCATGATGTTGCCACCAAACTAAAATAACTTACAGTATTCGCTAGCCTCGTGTTCGGTATTGAGCAGCAAACGAATAAATGATGCGTAATAGGTCATAGCTAAGATGCCACCTTGAGGGGAAAAAGGGGGACAATGTAGGCAATCAATGTCTTAGTGTCTTCTTACCTTCCTAAAGAAACACAATACCCTGAATCAATAAAATACTCCATACCACACACACAAAAACACACACACACACAATGTTGATATTTCGACAGTTAGGCTATATTCTTTAAATCCAAGTTCATGCTCAAGAGATGCCTGATGTTCACATACCCGTTACAATGTAACGTATTTCAGTTTCACTGAATCCATAGACTTACAGCAGCTTAATGCATCCACATATGTTTTTCCTTACCCTAGAAATAACGAAGCATTCCATAACGGAGGAGACCTTCTCCATGATTTGCCGGCAGTTACTCGTGACTCGTGATATTGACTTGCCTTTTCATGTTGACTATTGGCCTCTGAATACCTTTTCGTATCCATGCGTAATAGCGTATGTGTCATTTATATATGTCATATATGTTAGCTATAATTTCTCAAGGAATGTAGAGAAAGTATTTTGCGCCTAAAACTTGCATATACACTGGCGTTTAAATTAATTTTGCGATTAATTTAGCTATTTCTGCGTAAAGTTGGGTCACGTATTCCAAGCTATACAATTCCGTCCTAAGTCCATAACCTATACATTCTGTAAATGTATTGAAGTAGTTGTATTAGCATCATCTCCGCCATTGTTAGGCCTATTTTACAGAACCAACATACTGTAGATATTCTTAGATTTTGTTTATTGTTCCCAGGTTTATTTCTGGTGTTAAAGGACACCATACACAGAGAGAGAGAGATAGGACCACTCACCAAACATCAAGCAAATAACACTATGCCTATTTCTCAGTTTCTTGTAACATTAGGTACCATTACGCACGGGACTACGTATGGTCATATGCGTCATTGATCAACCTGATAATGCTTCTTCGAAACTGTAGGAAACAAATGCAAAGCGTATAAAAGCGGTGTTTGACGTCAGGGGCACTTCTTTACCCTTGACCGTGACTATGCAGCCAGTCACTTTGACCTTGACATCAGAGCAGCGCGTGAATACTAAACAGGGGGCTCCGCGCGCGTAGCAGGAAAGGCCCACGGTTTGTTTGCTGGCAAATAAGGTATTTTTTCCCTGTCTAGACAGCTAGACTTAATGACATGCCATAAATACATAAAAAGGGGAAATGCACCGATATCCTACTGACCTGACCATCTCTGACTGGTGACCAACTCTGAGTGAGCCCTATCATTAACATTTGGGTTTCTGTGTCATCGTTTGTGTTATACAGAGCATACCTTTCTCTCAAAGTGGGTTATTCTCTCCTCTCCTCTCTCTCTCTCACAGCACCGTGCTACTCAAAACCAACCAATGGTTTCATGCACTCATCATGAAGTGTGCGTGTATGTTATTGACCATGAAGGACAGGTAGAACATTGACGTCTCCAAACACCGACGCCTATCTGACTGAGAATAAATGATAAATGCCGAAAGTGAGACAACGCCCAAAGTATACAGATGAAAGGTAATGGCCATTTTTCTTATTTTATTTATGCATATTTGGTCAAATGACAGCACATTTCAGCCAACTGATATTCATTTTTTGTGCTAGAAAGTAAAACTGTGTTTGGTTCAGCTGCTATGGGCATTGTTATTCATGTACAATAACAATGCAATCTTTGAACAACTTTGGAAATGTAACTCTTAGTATGTCAAAGCAGAATGACCGGTTTGCATTGCTGTGTTAGGAAATGCAGCTGTATTTAACAAGAGGGATTTTAACGCATACAAATTAATTTGTTCTCTCTGGCAGATGTTTTGGCTATGTTCTATGATGTTTTGGGTAAGATAAATGGTGATAATAAATAAGATGTGATTGTGGTATCATTTTGCAATTGTTAAACTCTAATTCAAAAACATATAGTTAGAACCTCCCTTAGGCCTATGATTTTTACTCTGCATCCGTTATTTGATTACGTGAGATATCGTCATGTACGGACAAGTAAATCACAGTGCTTTATTTAAGGATGTCAATATACCCCCTTTCTATTCAAGTATTAAAAACACGACTTTATTTAAAACAATATGTTGCAATGAAGGCAAACCAAATTACAAATATCAATTTTATTCACTCAATATTGTGAATCATTTTTGGCATTCTAACTGATAATTTCAGCAGGTAGTGTTTTGTCCAATCAAATCAAATCAAAAACACAAGACATCTTCACTCCAAATGAAATGTAATTCTTTGTCCGGTGAAAATAGCAGGTAGTCCTACACTTCCTTTAGATTCGAATACAACAAGTAACCAAAAAATACTTATTTGATACAAGTTTCAAAATGTAAATGAAAGCTTTGGCTAATGTTTAGGCCTAGTCTGGTTAAAATAATAAATAGGGCTATAGAGTGGATGCCTCTTTCGTTGCTGCCAGGCCCCGGCCCAACCGAATAGAAGGCTCTGGCCCCAGCCAGCATGTTGTTGAGCAGGTTTCTAGAGGGCAAAAGCAGAATTTAGAAGGCGGCTGATAACCTCTGGTGGTGGCAAGTTGAAAATACCAGGAAGTAGAAATGGGACTTGGATTTATTTTTGCATTCATTTAGTCAGTCACATGGACGAGTTGGTTGATAAGGGTTGGCTTAGATTGTTGACAACATGTAAACTATATTTCGGCTCCAATGTTTATTGAAAACTTAAATACATTTGCACAATGAGTACTTGTTGTCTCTCAAATACATTGTTACAGTTGTTGGTTAGCAAGCTAGTGAATTTGAGCCATATTAGCATAGACATTAGTCAAAACACCTCAAAACAAGATATGGTATCAAGAACAAGATAAAACTAGCTGAAACTAGCCGACTACGATTCCCCACACGGTAGTTATTGTAATTGTTGCTAGCTATATGGCTATCCAGAATCACAACACACAGACGTCTGCCCTGTTGAAGTGCACGCAATGTTTTAGTGACATTGTCAGCTAACCCATCTATACAATGAAAGATGCTGCATACTGCATCTTGCAATTATTATTATTATTATTAGGCTATTACTTTTTAACATCAATATGCCTATATAGCCTAATACTAAATCCATATTCATATTATCATCAACATAGTATTGTTATTATTGTTGGTGTTATATTTTTGTTGTTATATTTATGATATTTTTGGTTTTTAGGTGTTTTGACTAATGTCACGTCTATGCTAATATGTCTTAAATTCGATAGCTAGCTAAACAACAACTGTAACAATGTATTTGAGAGACAACAAGTGCTCATTGTACAAATGTATTTATGTTTTCAATAAACATTGGAGCCGAAATATAGTTTACATGTTGTCAACAATCTAAGCCAACCCTAAAAAACCAACCCGTCTATGTGACTGACTGAATTGTTTGATCTTATTATTGTTGTTGGTGAAGTTTTAGTTGTGTTGTTTTTATCATTATACGGTATGCTATATTCATTATTAATATTGTTGTTTCTTTGTGGTGATGTTATCAACTTCTTAAATCCCAACATAACAATTATGCCCCATAGCGTTTATACATTTCTAATGTTATATCCCAACATAACGATATCCCATAGCGATTTTGAGAGTTTTAGCAACTCTTTCCACTTAAACACATCAGTGAATATTTTGAAGATGATTCATATGAATGTTTTATGTTGTGTTAGTTATGCTATTTGCGTAATTCGTTTGTAGGTATTTATTTAGGCCTACTGATTGCTGTTCCAACGGATTAGGAATAATAATATTATGTACAATAGGGCTATGCGTAAAATGCCCGAGTATGTCAATTGATTGAACATAGATAGATTGTGATTGATTTGTAACCACTAAATGTATTAATCAATTCCCTCAGCTGTTTTGAAAGAATTTGATCATTGCTTGGCAGAACCACACACACACACACACGCACGCACACACACGCACGCACACACACACACAAACACACGCACACACGCACACACACGCGCACACACACACACACATTCACACATTAAGTGTCATTATGCACAGGATTACACTGGCCGAATAGTTATATAACGTTATAATTTCTTCAATTTTAATTCACAGGCAACAATTATATGATATTTCGTAATGATCTTCCAAAAAATAAATGTTTGCCCGCTTGACCATCATTGACCGTCAAGTTCAAATGATGTGCACCCATAGGCTGGTGTTTAAATTTCGAATATTGTAACACAAGCCACTTCGTTATATGCTACCTGTAGCCATACAATAAGCCCATATGATATGAAATCCTAATTATTAATAATTTAAAGTTTAATATAACCATGTTTTACAACAGAAGCTTATTTTAACAGTTTACCGTAAGTATTTGTAAGTAAATGGTTATGGATCTAGTTCACTATTATTTTTTCTAAATTGAAATTTCTTCCTATATTCAAATAGACAGAATTAAATAGGCTACACTTAAAATCTTGCAGTTCTCCCCCCATTGTTCACAATCAGGGAGGGCTTATCCTTGAGGGGAACTTTTAAAAAGATTTAAGGCCATAACCGTGGCAACCTGTCTGCACAACATCAAAGTGGAGTTAAAAATACCTTTGTTTACGCTATTGACCTGTCGTGACAGGCCGAGAAATTCCAAGACAGAAATTCCAATCCCGAGCCTCCAGACAGTGCACTAGACAGTGACCTTGAACTGACAACCACTATTTCCCAAAATGTAAAATAATATAGACTTATCAAAACTAGTTATTTTCTCAGAATATCTCAGAATATCAGTTGAGAGTTGCTCAATTCCCCTACGCTTCTAATGGTATCGTCTGTATCAAATGTGAATTCAGAAGTCGTTTAGTGTGAATGTGAACTGGGCTTGTTGGAGAGCTGGTCTGGATCGACGGCGTGGTGGCATTGTCTGCTGCAGCAGAACGACGCAGTGGCCTTTATTCTCTCTGAGGTAAAGTGGAACCATTATATATAATGCAGATTCACTTTTAAAATATATAGATAGATATTTAAAGCTCTACTTTGAAAATGGTTGTGGACTTCTCATTACATTGTTACATACATTTTCTCGTCTTGTAATTAAGGTTTTTGATTTGGCAACTTTTCCTAGAATGGATTCCTATGTTGTAATTAAGAACATGAGAGGTTGTGAACTGAACCGACATCAAGTGATCTCCCATAGTGCTCAGACAGACGGCTGTAGCCAGGCTCATAACATATAACAACATTTATGTTGTTGTACTGCATTGCGAGACTTACTAAGGGTCTGTAATGATTGGAGAATAAATTCTGAAAGTGCACGAGGCGAGATTAAAACTCAAAGAATTCTAAGGAGCGTCTCCAATTTCACATTTCTATTTTTCGTTCTATTTAGGGGCTGAGGCGCCCTGGTCTTATGTTCTATATGACAGCTGTCACTGCTGACGATGGATCAAATAACGTCCGGGTTGCATCAAATAACGTCTGAGTTGAAAATTGTGCTGCGACCTATGTAATACTAATTAGGCTAGTATTCTCAGATAACACTCTGTACTTCTTGTCTATGCTGGAAGACTCAACACGCAAGTACAAAATGCCTCACGCTTAACATTTACATCTAAAATGTTATACAACTATTAAACTAATGTTGTCAATAGGCCTAATTTATTTTATTTACCGATATTTTATATTTTACATAGTTATGCTGTGATGGCGTATAATTTGAACATAACGTAATGTCAAATAGATTTGGACAAAGAGTTATAAATCCACGCTATAGCAGACCATCAGTATTATTATCACAACAAATAGGATGGTAACAAGTTATAATCCTTTACCATACCCTCAACACACAATTATATATGTTGTAATATCCTTATGATGTAAAACCGCACGTGATATTAAATTGATATTATGGTAACGCATGCTTCATGAAAATAATGTGAGTGGCTAACATGTTTTAAGATCAATAAAGCGCAATTTTGCGCATGCACTTGAGTAGCACTGATATATTCAGAGCAATATGCATTCATTAATACATTTGTCTTTACTTAGTAGGCCCTATGTATGCCTATAAGAAGTCAGCCGTAATTGTCAACAGTGCTATAGACCACTGGGAACCTAGGCAATGAGCCAAAACTCACAAGAGGCATTACATATTCAATTTAAAAGGGATATACATTTATGATTACAAATTTGCAGATCTGAGGGGGCAGTTAGCCTAGCGGTTGAGAGTGTTCGCCCAGTAATCAAAAGTTTGCTGGTTCGAATTCCCGAGGCGACTTCGTGAAAAATCGATCGATGTGCCCTTGAGCAAAGCACTTAACCCCTAATTGCTCCTGTAAGTCGCTCTAGATAAGAGCGTCTGCTAAATGACGTGTAATGTAAGTGTAGATCAAAAAATAATCATTTTTTTTGTCGGTCTTGCCCGGTGGCTAAACATTACGTAACTTGGGAAGAATTAACATGAGTGTCAGTACTAAGCTATATATTAGAAGGATTTATATCTAAGAATGCACTCTGAGTCTAAGTATTTCCAGATACCTCCAATGCAATTGATGAGAGGATCTGTGGACCATATGGGAAGAGAAGAAAGAAAAAGCATATGGAACCATATATCCATAGGCATATTATAAGACGGTATATGTTGAACAATTTGACAGTCTTAGACCACATCGGAATTTATGCGCTAACTGTTGGGTACGTGCCTGAATCATATGCATAGGAGGTGTATTATTATTTTTTGCTTAGACTAAGCATTACTTTTTGCTGTTGTACTATAGCCTATAAGAACGTATTTTTCCTATAAAATTGGTCTCTAGCGGTGCTTTATTATTATAACGGCTATGAAGTGATGCATAATAGAAATACTTACAGAGCATCTTCAGAATAATAATACCACAAATAAACTGATTCATGTGTATGGTTCAGTATGTCTCCACCGATTGAATCAGTTAATTTCCCTCTGCTAACTTGTAAAGTTCATATAAAATAATTGTGAGAGGTATAGGCCTATAACCATCCCCATAGAGTTTGGTTGCGATCGTTTATAGGGGGTATCTGTAAAAGTTGTTCGTAGGTGTCTGAGAGAATATTATGTGAGATATACACTCTTAAAGTAACCTTATAGAATATCGCCTGGTTTTAACAGAGCCACTAGAGTAGAGAGCAGCAATGAGCATCAGTCTTTTCTTAAAACAAGCTTGTAAAAGAGGGACATCACAGCTTTATATGACATTTAATTCAACCGTAATTTGCTCGAAAACAACTATGCACCTTCTCCTTCTAGGAAAATAAATCGTTTTCATAAGAAATAGTATTTTAAAACTTTTGCCAGCTAATAAAGATATTAAACGAGACTAGGGACAGTTACATATATTTGTACAGTAGAGGAGAAAAAGGAAAAGTAGGTTTGGAATCTACTGGGTTCCAGAGAAGAAAAACAAGATTATACATATTTAATAAAACATTTATAGTATTTTTTTTAAAGCATATAAACTCCGTAATACAGAAGTTAATGTTTTCTTTTGTCTGAGGTGGACCAAGTGGGTGGTACCCAGGTGTAGCATAAGTTAGCCCTCAGACCATGTGACTTGAGGTTGACCAATCAGGTGCACACCCAGATGTAACTACGTTAAATGTCAGATTGCAATAAACTAGAAGCTGTTGGTCGGGCCCACGGAAATGGGCGAGCATAATCTTCTTAATCCCGGGTTTGTGGGACCTTTGGTAAACATCCACACTGGAGACACTTTTTACTTTCCGAATTTCCGAGCCTCGGTGGGACAACTGGCGGGGCTACCATCTCTCCCCTACCCGAGAAGGGACAACGTTTGCTCCCTCCCGTGGAACCCATCGGAGCCCTGCAATGGATACTCTCAATCCTATTTTAGCAGCCCCATGTCTATTAACCCTTCTTTCAACGGGTCGTGTGAAATTACTCGGCCGGAGGAGAGTAAATGTTATTATAGCAACGGCAGCGCGAGCAGCAGAGAGAGCTGTTCAGGTGGTGGCGGGAGCAGCCTAAAGCGAGAGGATAGGGCGAGGGACACATCATCATCCATAACATCTGATCACGGGATGCACTCTGGCATGGGCAGCAACAACAGTGGTGCCTTTTCCAAGTATGATTATGGGACCGAGCAACTCATTCAAGACCCGCCGTCCTGCCAATCTCTGGAATCCGATTCCAGCTCCTCACTTTTCAATGAGGGCAGCAAACCTTCCTCCAGCGACCCTCAGACCCTACTGTCACCGGGAAAACACACCGTCCACTCGGGCAACATAGCTGCAGGCGGAGGTGGGTCCCATCCTCATTCATCCAAACACTGTTAAATGATATTAGAAATCCCCAAAATGCTCCTTTATTATCAGAGGAATTAAATAGTTCAGCATAGCCAGAGGTTTGTTGTTGGCTCTAGCGATTTGTTATCATGATGCTCATGTTTAGATTTTTGCCTGCAGGCGACTTCACTTGCGTGGCGGACTAACGCCGCTAGGGGTTGCCCTAAAATGTTCCATCATGCTTCAAGCCTTTGTGTACAACCAGGAGACTTTAGGCTGCAGATCATTTTAGTCCACGGTCTTAAATCTTACTGCCACTGCATGTGTCTCAGAGTCAGAGACAAATCATTCTGAATAAGCTTATCGATGTGATTGTATCATTTTGGTTTATCTGAATCATTTAGCTTGTTATAACATGTCTATTACGCACAGATTACGCAGAACAAATGAGTGCAGTGATTTGAAGAGGTGAGGCGCTGTGGATGACTGCATCGAATAGAAAGGGGTTTCGAGGGGTTTCGTTTTAATGACTCGTAAACATAATTAATATCTGTCGCTGTATACTATAAAGGGGGAAATAAGTAGGGAAATACTTAATTATCACGTTAATGTAGCTTTAACTGCATCAGTAAAACTTCATGTGACACAACCTACTGTAAATTAGTGGTCACTTTGCCTTTATGTATAAACTCGAAGAAGGTAACATAGAATTTCAGCTGCTGCTTCTGAACAAACATTCCCCATGTCATCGAATAAGATTCAGACTTAGTAAGGTCTAGATAGACTAGACCAAAACAAGTCATGTGTAACACAACACGTGTGTATGTGCGCAGCACAGGAAGTCACATTGAAAGGAGAGTATAGCCTTGGAGGTGACTGTGAGCTTAATATGTGGTCCTAACTGGTGTGACTTATCCTTCTCCTGTATGCCCCCTCCAGGTGCCCCGTGGTACCCGATGCACACCCGGACCAGAAAGAAACGCAAGCCCTACTCCAAGCTCCAACTGGCCGAGCTGGAGGGCGAGTTCATGCTGAATGAGTTCATCACCAGACAGCGGCGGAGGGAGCTCTCTAACCGCCTCAACCTCAGCGACCAACAGGTTAAAATCTGGTTCCAGAACCGGCGTATGAAGAAAAAGAGACTGGTGATGAGGGAGCAAGCTATGACCTTCTTTTAGATTTAGTAGAGACGTGGCACCATAAGGAAAATCGATTGATGGGCAGTATTTCTCCTGTCTGCAATTGCTATAAATGCATGCATGCACCCACCTAGCCTACTCTCGCTCCATCTCCATCAGGAGGTGCAAAATGTTCAGGAAAGATTTTAGGTGTAGGCCCTAAGGAAAACGACCAAGTGATACTCCTGCGATAACTTAGAATATCTGCAGAGTTATGCAGGATAGTACTGCCATAGTGTTGTAGTAAAACACCTATAGCCTACAGACGTTTATCAACTGTGAGATGATATTCTAGCGTCCCGGATAGGCCTAAAGGACGGAATTAGTGCATGATGTCCTAGACTTTAGTAAATTCCCAAGCCCTTGAAAATTTATAATTTATTTTGATAAATTACTTATAAAAGCATAATAATCCTTATTAGTCGTATGGCCAGTGAAGATGAATTTGAAAACTAAATTAACTAAATTAAAAGCAATATAATAAACACGAGGCCAGAGTGAGCGATAAACCAATCAGGCCAATTCTTCACCAATGTACCTGAATCAACTTAACGTGCATTCAAGACGAAGGACATTGGTTAAGACAAACACAATACCCTTATCTGTTTTCTCTAGTCCCCGCCATGTGTTTTGGCACGTTCACGGTCACGGGCAAGGAGTCAGACTCCAAGCCGCAAATCAGAGGATCTTAGGGATAACTAAACCTCCATGCCAACTTCTTTATGGCCCCGCTCCTCAACCGTCTCTGAACTACTTTGGGGTTGGATCAGAACAGATGAGGTGGCTGTTTAAACCCGGGTTCGTGCTGGCTGCTATCAAAGATCATAGTTCTCGTAGTTGTGCTGACAATTATTCTTCAATTATTCTTCCACAATAGAGTTGTTGGAGTTTCTTATTGCAATAACAAGCAGAGGTAGATGTCTTCTCCGTAAATGCACATCCCATAGATAGACTCTCAATAAACTTTTTGTCCTGATATAGACCCCGGAATAACGGTTACCGCTGGAAAAGTGCACATTTGAATGGGCATAATTGAAAGTAGAACTTGACTGAAAAATAGGCTCAGTGGAAAGAAATATCGTATTATAAACATATATGACATACAAAATCTAAACGCTGGGGTGTGAACCTTTAACTTCTGGGCAACACACAGTATTATAGTATTGAATGTATATGGATTAAAACCCAGCAGTGAAAGATACTTGCAGCATGTTAGTGATTATGTGAAAAATAACCAAATGGATGATAGATAATAATTGCTCGGTACCTTACAACTTTTAATGTAGAAACAACTGAACGATTGAAAGACATTTCGTCGCATTTTAAGGCGAGTAAATATGAACTTAAACCTTTATTATGTATGCATATAATGATAATAATAATAATAATAATTATAATAGCATTGGTCGGAGGTGCTGACTATTATTTGTAGGCTACTGTATTTGGTATTCGTTATGTTCTAAATGGTGTCTCTTCTTACCTTATAACGTGTAGCAAATTGTAAAAGTATGGAAATTATATGATATGATGCTATTTACATCCTATTTGGGGATATCCTATCTCAAGGAATAGTGTTTTATGTTAATGTTCCAATATTTCGTCCTGTAGAATACAATCTCGCATTCCATTATTTGCGTTTGTAAGGGGTTATATGCAGACCCGTCGCCAGACCTAAGTCTTAAGGGGGGCATATGAAATGCATGGGAGGGCACGGCACAATTATTATTAGCCTACAGTACCTATATTTAATAATAAATTCCCTCAAGTGGGGGGGGGGGCACAAGCATTTTTGGGGGCGGGCCCGGCCCCCTATGGCCCGCCCATTGCGACGGGTGTGGTTATATGAAATTAAGATTTCATACAGCCATTAAGACATGTTTATATAAAATGATACGATATGATACTATTTACATGCTATTTCAGGATACCCTCTCCCAGTGTGATAGTGTTATGTTATTGTGTTATTGTTCTTTTATTTCGTCTATGTACAATATTGCGTTCCTTTATTTGCGCTTGTGAGGGTTGTTTAAAACGTTGTATTGTATACAAGTAAAAATGACATGAATGTATCTATGTATGAGTAAGGTTTCTAATAAACAGAATAAAAAAATAAAAATAAAAGGTCTTACCACCATCATTATACTGTGGTTTCAAGTACTGTATTATGTGATAATGGTACAACAAATGAGTCACTTCTTGTTTGGATACACGACATATATCTAAGTTAGGCGTATAGCTTTATTTTGTTTAACTTTCTCTTCTAAAACAAACATTTTGAAGATCTGTAATAAATGCTACTCGGAGTGTGGCAACATAACACATAACACATAACATAAGTTGAGTACCTTACTCATCTAAATATTATAAACGCACCTTACAGTTCAAAGGCCAGGTAGTCAATGCCGCTGGAATGCAATAAAACAGTGACGTGAACACACAATAGCAGTAACAGGACTACATTCCAGTTATAATATCCGGAACCTCATACTTGGCTGGGTATTCTGATTATATTTAACCTACTTGTTGTTTCAATGAACTATTAATGTGGTCCGCTGTTGAAGTGATGTGTACAAGAACTCTAGTGCTCTCATTTGGAATTTTAAAACAATATGATGCACTGGCTATATGGTGATGACAGGTAAACAGAAAATATGGAGTTTGCATTGCACATATCAGCCAAATAACTCTCAAACATAATTATCATTGAAAATAAAAAGTATTGGGTATTAAGGGCTTGTCACAATAAAGTGGCGGCTTGTGTTTTTTTCTGAATTGAGATCAGTTGTTGGCATTTCAGTGAACTGTGGAAGGCCGGATTCGGCGAACAACTCATGGCACCAGCCAAGTGGTCTGAATTAGTCCCTGTATATCAAAAAATACATAGGCCTACATCAGATGCTGCTGCCATTTGTGCTTTTTGCCTATAGCTTACTAGCCTACTGTACTGCACTCTTAGAATAAAGGGCTCTGGATAGAACCATCAAGGGTTCTATTGGTTGCTTCACACATGGCACCCCTAAAGGGTTCTATATGGATCCAATTTCGGTTCTATATAGAACTTAAAGGGGTCACATATATGAAGCAAGCATAGAACCCTTTTTGGTTCTATCCAGAACCTTTTTTTCTAAGAGTGTGTGTTGAACTATAGCTTACTAGCCTACTATAAACTGGCTGACTATACTATGTTGAACTAAGTGGTTTTCACCAATATCTTCAACATAAACATGAGTTTATTGAGAATTTGGAAGGCTGCACATTTTGATCCATCATCACATTGTGAACATTGAGGTGAAACTGGAAAACGTTGCCATAGTTACTATTCCGTCCTTTCAGCTTCCTTTATTTCTTCTGCAATATTCTTCTTGGGATTTTGCCCTTTTAACTAACATGTGTTCATAGTTTCTACAGTCAAGCTATTGAGAGGTGCATTGAGTCATCAACGGAGAGATGCATTGCACTATAATGCTTTTCCCATACGCTAGTTTCTAGCAGCAGTCTATGGACTTGCTTATAGTTAAAGTAAACACATTTGAAAAGAGAGAGAACGTGTATTGGGTACTAGCCTACTATACACAACTAGCAATCATCTGAATAATAATTATTTAGTGATGCATCCGTTTTATAATATTTAATCGATAATAAGTTTAGCTGTAAGACATTTCGGAGAAGGCATGGTGAAAAATATGTGAATTTTACGCACAAGGCAAAGCAATCTTGTGGTCCTGATTTTAGGTTGCACATAATAGTCTATAATAGTCCAAGCTGTTAGATTATATCGTACTTAATAGAAGTGAATACATGCAAATTTGAACTGAAAACTGGTATTTGGAGATTAAAATATTCGGGTTACATTCTGTGTTTGTCTTCATTGGAGTTCAATATCAAGTGGCTTTACGCAGAGATATGACAGAGAATATTCTCGCTGCTTCAATGTCGAACGCCTTTGATGTGTTACATTAGAGAGTATATCGTACTACGAATATTAGTAGTGTTACTATACCAATATTAGCCTAGTACCTCATACTATTTTTTATCATAATCCTATAAGTATTTTGTATGTTATGCAATATATGGCCTACATATTGTCTGGATATAGGCTATATTTAAAAACAATTTTCTGTAAAAAATTATGTGCATCTTAGCAAATGAGTTCATATAGGCAATCAATCACAACAGGTTTCATTTTCTCCCTGAGTTATTTTTCCCACTTCCAAAACACATATTCGACTTGGGATAGGTTAGAGGCCCAGTAAATTGCGTAATGCTACTTCTAGTGTTATAAACGTGGTTTTACGCATAGGCCAACTCATGCAATGAAGGTCCAAAAGGTTTATTGTACCGAGCCATGAAAAAGAGGCACACTTGACTCAAATGTAGCTTACAAAATATGATGGTAATGTCAGTGAAGGACCAATCTATCAAACCACATTCTTCGTTCTTCGTGCATGTGTAGAATGCAGATATGAGGTTGAATGCTGTCTGCATGCACACCGATCGTAACATAAAGACTTGTAACAAAATAACATGGCATCAGAAAATGCTGTCCATTTAGACCCGCATAAATGCTTGGCATTTCAGCATTTGTACCAGAGTGCCCCCCCCCCCCCCCCCCATTCGTTTTTATAAGCATTTCTTGGATACCTTTTATTCTTATCTAAATCCTTTAGTCCAGACAAACCGAACGCTGTGATGAACTAAACCTGAACTGTGTATTTGAAGTTAATTTCTGAATTTGTTAGCGGATTAATTTAGTCAGCTTCTTTGGCATGGCATGTATCATGGTTTTACCAACGGTTACCCTGTTCAATCAAAACTGGATTTGGATCTTCCAAAGCTCCTCAGCTTGTATTTGTTATTTGTTTAAATTACGCCTGCGTGCACAATCTTTTTGGAGGCCTATTCAATGTTGTGGGGAGTGTTCTATAGCTTCTCCTCACCCCCACTCCCTTAACTGATACGTGTGGGCGGGAGCAGCGCTCAAATTGAAGGTCAAGTTAGTACCTTATATGGATCCCTAGTGCACCAACACACTGACTGACTGGGTGCAATAGAAATCTGTGAATTGTCTCCGACTGGGAGCACAACAAAAACAAACGTCTCACTAGTTTCCTTTCTTGTATTTTGTTTTACTTGCCATTGGTAAAATGCATTGAACACCATGGAAAATGTTCCTACTTTGAGCTTTTCTAAACGTCTTTCATATCTGCATGTAAGCCTAATAGCTGTACAACGGAAATGGACTCAGATTAATTCAGTGCTTTATTTCTGACTCTGGTAAATACAGACGATGCGTTGACTTATATTTGTTATTGAAATAGAACACTATTCTACTTGAGTGAAAATCCAATGTAGGCCTACTTTACGAAATAATCCTATACGTTTCATTTTAACAATAGGCAACATTTTACCAGCAGGCATATGCTTATTGAATAGGCCGTGAAGTGTTATTTGAGTCAGTGTGCCTATGCATGAACTTTAGTGCTTCAAGCTTATAGCCTATATCGAGTGATGCATATGCGCTGTGCGTTATTCAGTGCTCAGTGTTTAGTGTTCAATGCCGTTTCTAAGAATAAGGCGGGACTTGGATGAGCGTGTATAGACCTACTTCGCTCACTGATCAACACAGCCGCGGCCTCGTTCATTTGTTCAATGAAATAATTTGTCATGCCTAATTGTATCTATGCATTGCGCAACATAAAGGCCTTTCAAGTATATTGAAATATTGTATCTTTGCCATTGTATATGATCTCTCACTGCTGGGAAATGACGTTGATAAAAAACTCGGACAGGGAAACCCATACAGCAATTAGGTAGGGATCCATCTTTATTGACAAATACACAATCACAGGGGTATGCTTTGCAAATTCATAATTTGAAACAATAGTAACAAATATCGCAGCAAATAAACAAAATTAAGTAGTAGGGCTAAGTAAAAATGTTATTATGCAATAACTGGATTTGGGAAAGAAGACCTATATTGGCTACATGAACTAGTTTCATTTGGATTCGTTTTAGTATAGATTAGACCTGCAGACCTTTTTGCTCTAATGTATACCATTTCACACTTAAATTTAACTTAATTTAGACACGTTTATTTGGTGAACTTTGATGCACCTTTGCACGATATTTATCTTTACGCATTACGCAATAAGATATTCTTCTTTACGCATTGGAAGCAAACTTGTAGTTCATAATATAGCCTACAAAAAAGTCAAAATATGTATTTTTGAGTGATTCATGAATTTAGAACTTCTGAAAAGGATTGACTTTAAAAACATTCTAATTTGAAAAACACTTTATAACAGCCGACATATCCACAACAAATTGTGGGAATTTTTATGTAGGTGCAACATAATAGAGGGAGGTTTAATAACTGTTTACAAACGTAAAGATAGTTAGTTATTCAGGCCTGCAACTATTGATAATGTTTTGTGTGCATTTTTATTCATGTTCATAAGTAGACCAAACCTTAGCTGGTTTTGTTTTGGTGATTCCAACTGCACTATGCCACCATGCAGTAAAAAGGAGTTGACTAGCCAATAATATTTACCATAGCCTATTATAATAAATCCCTCAGATGAGCAGAAGTTTGTTTTTTACTTCAACACATCACTGGATAAATATGGATGAAGATAACCACAAAATAACTAGCGAATATGTGTGAAATAATTTGACACATTCACAGAATTGATGACAAT